AACCCAATAATTCGGGCTCATAGTCTAACCCACAACATTCAAAACCCAACAAATCAAAAAATTTAAAAAAAAAAAAAAAACTAACGTTAAAATCAAAAAAGCAAAGCAAATATCAACTTATTACTGACATCAACCTCTCTCTCTCTCTCTCTCTCTCTCTCTCTCCTACCACAAACCAAAAAGTAAAAAATCATCATTCATCACCTACCTCCTCTGGAACATTTTTTGTAATTTTGTTACAGTCATTCCATCTCTCTCTCTCTCATGACTAAGGTTTTAGGCCGAGTTGGCCAATCCTTAACAAGGCAACAAATTCATTTTTCTCTCTCTCCCTGTGATCCCATCGTGGGTAGCAACAAGCCAACAAATAAAGTCAAATCTGAAAATTTAAGGGGCTATCTAATTTGTAGGCAACATAACAGATTCTATTGTTGTATAACTTTAGATTTTTTAAAAAAATTTAAGGTTGTATTGTATGTTTCAAAAATATAAATTATTTGATTGTGTTTGTTAGTTTGATTATTTGTAATTATTTAATTGATAATATATTTATATAAAATGGACTATTTTTCTTAAGGAGTACTTGTCATCCCCCTCATTAAACTCATTCTTATCCCTCTACCCATTTTTATCCCTTTACCACTCAGGTACTAAATTATCCCTATTGCCCTTAATGCAATTACTAGCTAAAGTGACAATGACTTTGGACTCACCAGGGTCAAAAGTACCTATGTTATGCTAATTATCAATGCACAATGTGCAACCGCAAAAGTCGAGATCTAGTTCCTCTTATTGGACTGACTCATCGACTATATCTCTGCCCATAGACGCCACTCCTTCAGACAAAAACTTGGAAATCCCCACGTGCTCATTCACTTCCCACACAAGACCAATACCCCTCCTAGAACAAGGATAAATAAACTCACAACCCTGCCCTAGATTAACAGCCACCAACTAAAACCCACATCATATATAAAAACAATGAATTATATAAAGTATACAAATAACCATTAACTACGATAAAATAAGAACAATAAATGCAAAACGAAGAGTTGAATGCCAGCACTGGGGTCTTTGGGATCCAACTTCCTAAACTATTTGCACACATACCAAAGCTAAGGAAGAGAAACTTTCTTCCCCTATCTTATATGTAAAGAATGAAAAACAATCCCATTATTGTTCCATAAGTAGAGTCCTATTAAATGGTTTCCATCTAGAATCCTAGTATTTACCCTCTTTAAAAGTAGCATTTAGTTGCTCATAAGAGGATTTTTTATGGGTGTTGAATGAAAATTGTTTTCCTCACAATTATAAATCGACTTCTACAAATGCATTTGTCTTTTTCTGAAAGAAAAATGTGTTTTATGTCAAAAAAGTGCACTTCAACTTGATGCAAATGACCACATATTCTTGAATATTGAATATTGGTATAGCTCGTAAAAGATATCTTCTTTCAAAATATTTGAACCGTGAAATCATTTAGAATCATGTGTTGCATCCTATACGCTCGGGTTGTTAACAACCAATGACAATAACATGCCAATTTTGCTTCATTAATTAATAAAGATCTATAGTCATTTGATGTGAATGAACCAGGTTGTTGCTCAGTTAGGTTAAACAGAAAACTTGTGACCATAGTATCTTCACTTTACAAGAAGTGTAAAATTTAGCTAGCCATGGTTCCCGTCAAGACCGAGGGACCCAGTTCTACTTCCAAATACCAACCCCGTGTGCCAATATAGGTTAATGTGAATGAACTTCCAGTGTTATATCATATTTCCTTTAGTTTAGAATAACAACTAGAGAGAATCATGCCCCAACTCCATATACCTGGTGAGTTCATGGGAGATACAACTTCCATTCCCATCAAAGACACATCTGAAGTAGGTTCTGAGTTCCCTGTAGAGAGAGAGAGAGAGAGAGAAGAAAATTAGATCATATTAGAAAAAGAGAGAGCAAGGAGAAAAAATAAAGTAGTTGTGCATGGGCCTAATGGGGAGGGGGAGATTAGGCACCCCTTGAATTCCAATTTTTTTGTAATTCAAGCACACCCACAGGGTATTATTAAGAGAGCCACTTAATTAAATAGGTCCCACCAAAATGCTTGAGGTGATTATTTTAATAAGAACTAGAATTGGGGAAAAGTCTTGCCCAAAAGTTTCTGTACATCCACATCCACGTTTCGGGGCATTGTTTCGGTCACCTAAAAAACAGAAACGTTTCGACATGTTTCGGAAACGTTTCGACCCGTTTCAAAAACATAATGAAAAAATATAAAAATTTAAGAATTATTTTTTTAAAACATTTGTCGAAATATACAAAATATCTTTAAATACTTTAAAACATTCTAAAATAATTGTGCAAATACATTGAAATACAACAAAACATTTTAAAATATTATGGAACATCTCGAAATATTAGTATTTCGATTCCATCACTGATTCGTTTCAGTCTCCTTCGAAACGGAAACGTTTCGAATATTTCGACTGTTTCGAAACGATATTTTGATCCCTGTCCATGTCATCAAAGTACCACCCAACTTGAAAACTAAAGAAATACAAAAAAACTAAAATGATAACAAACTGCCTCTACATCGATTGCAGATCTAAACTTATCCATTCTTACATGCTGACTCGGTCTAATCAGATGGTTTCGTGATCTATGCCTTCATACCCCGATGTATAACAGAAGTTTTCCCTAACAATGACAATCTTTTTTCTTCAACAAATATTGTTAGCAAAGATTAGATAAAATATAAATTCCTTGTTGGTTGGTTACTTGATACAACTTTCCCCATACTTCAACGAGATAATATAAGTAAACCAATGACATATTTCCAAACTTCCAAGTAATTAGATATTTTACGGTCAAGATGTGAAAAGGATGGAGCCTTACATTTATTATCCCAAGAACACAACTTTTACTGGGTTAATCGGGCAATAGTTGTGATACACAATGCAAATTTGTAGATTAACTGCAATAATGTTGGAGCCAACATTGAACTTGCCCACCCTCAAATTTTTTTTTTCCTTCACATTGCATATTTATATATCTAGATACTTTTAAAAAATATTTAATTATGTTCACCCTATTATTTTCTTGTGACGGCGATTAGAATAGACTCATTCCTAAATGATTATCAACCAAATAGCTTCGCACATATTGGGACAAGTTTTGGACCAAGGATCAAAATTTTGTTTCAGTGCATAATTTCGGTGAGCTTGGAAGCCGAAACAAAGAAAAACTTTAAAAATTTGTTCCCGAAACATAAGTCAAAACACACTGAAACACCGCAAAACATAGGAATTTTGATATTCAATCAATGATTCGTTTCGATTTCCATAGAAGCAAAAACATTTCAAACAATTCGACCATTTTGAAATGAAATTTAATTCTTTGTCTTAGACATATTGGGGTCATTTTGTAATTTTAAAAAAATGTATAATTATTTTCTTATTGTATAGAAATTAGGGTTATTTTTGTAATAAAATTAAGGGTAGAGTTATTTCCTAATTGTATACAAACTAGAGTCATTGTGTAATATCAAAAATATACATCTATATATTAAATATAAGGTCACAACTTAAACTTATAACATACCAAAAGGTAAAAAATCTTACACTTATAAAATTGTTTGGAGATAAAAACAAAGCCCACATATAAAACCCACTATACGACATTCTATGATTATACAACTCTCTGGCAACTATGTTTCCCTCTAGTTAGATGCCACTTGCCTTTGTTTGATGTCCGAATAGTCAATAATAACACTACAGGATTAGATAACTTTTCACCCTTTTTGATTGCAATTATATTATCATGTGCACTCTAGTATTGAGTTTTCAAACTAGTAAGGATAGGTGTTCTTGCTTAAAAATTTTAAGACTAGAAGAAACGTGCATCCATAAGTGCACACTATTATGATTTTGGCATTGATTTTACCACTTACAATTTTTAGCATATAAAGATCATTTTTAGCAATGAAGATTGTGAAAACTTTGTTTCATAACCAAATAAGTGAAAAACGTATCATCTTACTTTCATGGATTGGAAAAGAAATAAAGCATGTTAAAGTGGCCGCCCAAGAAAAAAAATTCTGGCTCCACCCTTGACAAAAAGTGCCATGTTGTGCAAAATGTAGACATCTGTTGTCATTGGCCAATTCAAACGATTTCCACCAATTTTTCATCTATGTTATTGTTTTAAAAAGCGGGATGGAATAGTTTCTTATAGGATATTGTCAAAGTTACCACATGGGCAACTTGTAGTCTTGTTAGGATCAGCTGGTAAAATTTGTCTCCTTTTGCTTTGTTTGGCTTCACTTGGAAAGAGAAATGCAAGAATTCCCAATGAAGCAGAAGTTTTTCATAACTATTAGACAACTACATTCACAGAAGAATACTTCATCGAGAATGCAAAAAGTTCTGCATCTCTCTCTCTGACATATATTTTTGACTCCCACTCTTATTTTTTTCCTTCATATATATATATATATATAGATAGATATGTGTGTGTGTCTTAACTCCCAAACTTGCCTTGCCCAACGTCGGATTAAATACCTGTACAGTGACCATCACCAGTACTACTGATATCTATTTGATTGTAATTTTCAAATCGAGTATAACTAACTTAAGAAGCACTTATCTTGTTTGTTTGTATATTCTTTTGCAGTGCTGATGACTTTTGAGGACTGCTAATTGCTAAGTCATTTAGGCTGACAATGTCAACATACACGATTGTGACGAATCTGAAACTAAATTGCCAGTAAGCAGAATATAAATTGCCTTTGGAAGCTCCAGTACAAAATCAATTCTAGTTTGTCCCTAACATATTGCCAAAACTAATCTGCATAGGTCAATCCACCTCCTTTTACTGAAGCTGCTAGCAGGGTGGGTGAATTATACTAACTGACGTAGGCTATATTGCCATAATAAATTATTAACTCTGATGAACACTGGCTTCTACTTTCAGCCAGTTATATAGTATATGGTGTACCTCAATTACTTGCTGAAAAGAGACGCTATCAATCATCAAATACATATCCAAAAAATAACAACTGGTACTTGGGTTCAAACTAAATGCAGAGAAGGGAATTTTTTTTCTCTGCTGTAGATGTGTATCAAGACACGTATATATGCAAAGATTGTGAGGTTGAAAGAAAGCACTTACCTAACTGGGGTGAACCACTTGCCTTAGCATATGCGAAGTCTTCGATGTCGGGTGGGCCAGAAAGCTGCATTGAGTATACTGATTACAAGGTAAATGACTCCCTTTCATAAACAATAAATAAGTTGAAAAATTAACATAATTTCTGAAAAAAAAAGTTGAATGAATTTCAAGTCAAGTAACTAGAGGCATCTCAAGCCAACACCCTGGCATATTCTGATAAATTCATGACTAACTTAATCAAGTTTGCTGTATCAAAGTAATTTTAGTAAGTGAATATTTGTACCCTAAGCAAAAGCTTCCAAGCAAACAGAATTTTAGATCGACTATACATAGTAACGTCATGAGTTCAGAGTCTCAGACCATGTACACGCAATGTTTTTCATCAATGAACGCCCATCTAGATTCCTCTTCTCCACCAAATCAAAAGCATTTTTTTTCTCTGATAAACTCAACCCAATTCTTTTCTCTTTGTCCTGTGTACCCAATCCTGGGGACAGACGGGGGTATTATCATGTTGTGTTTAAGCACCTTCAACATGAACCATGTTACCCATAGTCCTCTTAACTTACTCTCACTGAGCTTCATCATGATGCTCAATCACAGATGTTCAAGCTACACAATTTTGCAACACCCATGAAAGTCTAGATGCATAGGCCATGAACATTTTCTGCTACTGGTGTCATTCATGCTGATCATAATATCTCCAAAAAAGGAAAAACCCTTTGGCATTGTGCCTTTTTTGCCACTATTTGGGTTTTATGGATGTAGATTTTGGGCATCCGTGACTAAGGATTTTGAAGAAGAACCACTTTTAATTATAAAAACAAGCTGTACAGCATTGTGTGGGCTGTGATAATCTGTTAACACCATTGCTTGAGCCTTTTGTTTGTTCTTTACAATCATTAGGGTTGGACAACTTGTCCAACTTTTTTTGGTTCTTGTAACACTTATTTATTTCTATTATTAATAATATTGATGTCTCTTATTGAAAAAAAATATTTCCAAAAAGAATTCCTTTTAAAGTCAAAAAAATATTACATTAATATTTCATCTACTACCTGAGTCCAAAGACTATTTACAGAAAAAGCTTGAGACTCTCTATATATAGAAAAAGCTTAAGTTCAAGAGCAGACAATAAATGCATTGGCATCTCATTCTCACCATTTTAACATAGTTTCAACTTTCAGAAAAGAGAAGTTTATTTTATTGAAGTAAGGGATAGTAGGGAAAGATGAAAACTACTGAATTGACTTATTAGTAGTGGAGGGATATTATGAGACACACAAGAACAAATGGTACAACAGCCATATTGTGGCAGAGGAAACAGATAATAATGTGTTAAGCAAAGTAAGAACCTGGTTGTGCTTGCTACACATCCCTATGTTTACCTCATTGAACAACTTCTATATGACCACCCACCACCAACCTTTTTAAATATGTTATCCTTTATCACTCAAAAGCATAAGTTTACCAGAAATCACAAAATGAGGCTATTCATTGGCTCAAACAGTTCAGCAAAAGTCTGTTGAACTTTGCACATTACATTCTTCATGCTCTTTCATTCTCAGATTTTGAAGTGAACATGAGTACTTCAAGCTAAAATAGGAAAGCTTAGTCAAACTTGGCAAAACAAATTGCAAGTATGTCATCGATATATTTTGCAGGAAAATATTGAATTCCATTATCATTATAATCATTCGGTTTCAACTTGCACTTCCATCTTTCACAATATATTTACAAGCACACTCCAACCCAAAAAGAAAAACTGCTAAAATGTGCTTTAATCACATAAGCATTTGAATTACCAAAGCCAGTTGTTCAATTGGAAACATTTGCCAAATGGAGGCAAAAGGGTAGAATGGCCAAAATGTTGATTGCATTGCTTCAGATGAAGTTTCATTGAATATAAAAATCCGTTCTTTTCCATACTCTAATTCCGTTTTAAATTTAAATCAGTAGATGTATTGTCAAACTTTAAAAACAACATTTAGCAAGCATAAATGAAGGGCAAATAAAATGAAAAATATATTAATTAGCAAAGATGATCGCAACCATAATAATCAAGTCACAAGAGAAAGAAATTTTATTCATTAACGGTTTCACATAAGAAACGTAGCATCACAATCAAGAAAAAAATGATATTTAAAAAAAATTACTTTCTGGCCATGAGGTACTGTTTTAACCTCCTTTGCCACACTTTCTACAGTCTTTTTCATTCTCTTCTTCCTAATAAAAACACCAACCTCTGGAACAGAACTGCCTCTGCAAGCTTCAGGCCCTGGAAAATTGACCCAAAAATCCAAAATATATATATATATATTAACTGAAGGAACATATTGGGAATCATATTCTATTGGGTGACCAAAAGATAAAGATTTTCATATATGAAGGCAAAAATGTATTTTCAAGTAAATTTGTGGGAATTTTCTGACCAGAATTTGGGTCTGCAGGTAGAATTTCTAATTTGGAAGACAATCTTGTGTTGTACATTCTGTTGGTGGAGTCGATTCGCGCCGAAGCTAGTGAATAAAGAAGTGCTGAGTTTCTGGGAAAAAGAATAGACATTTGGAATGGGGCGGGACTGTTCAAACTGTAGAGAATAAGAGATTGATGATAAAAATTTTTTTTTTTTTTTGGTAAATGAAATTGATGTAATTTTAAAACCGCCTATTTCATCTAACAAATGTGTCATATACTTATTTTTCACCATATCATCCTAAAAAAAATTAAAATTAAAAGAATAAAAAAATTGACAGTCGTAATATTTGATAACACCATAAATTACAGTAACAGCTAGACTAAAATGTCCCCTAACTCTCAAATCACCGAGTGATATCTAAGTAGTTTTGCTTCGGTCACATCAACTAAGATCTAGTTACTATAAGAAGAGGAAGAGCTCAACAAGTCTATCCTACCCTAGGCAGCAAGCTACTAATTCAAAATGTCACCTCGTTACTTCTAAAAGCCCACATGTCATGGGGATATGATTGCCTCTAACGGGCAAATATTCATCAATAATTCTAACAAATTGAGGAAATTACATAATCATGAAAGAAAACAAAAATCTATTTTTGTATAAACAGAAAGGATGCACTGCTGAAAAGGGATCGAACCCTCTATAATCATTGGCCTCTTCTTCCTTAAGCAATATGCCTAAAAATGAGCTAGAGCCTGCATTAAAGTGGATTATTGGGGCTCATTAATGTTACTGTCTTCATCACTCACATCGCCATAAAATGACTAGTCAAGTCACATTTAACGTGGGTGTCAGATCATGCCCTCGGCGCCTCTGAGTCGTGATCTCTCGGCTCGAGTCCTCGGCATCCTTCGATCTCTATAATGGCTCCAATTCTACATGTGTCGATTTAGGGGCTGCTGGGCTGCCTAGAGTCCCACAGGTGGCGAACAGGTGGCGCAAGGAGACTGGAGGCTTATTGAACACGCCTTATTAATGGCGACGATTTCTTACACGTCTATCACCGCCCTTTTCAAATCCCCTAATGATGACTTGTCTTTTTCGATTCCCGCCCTTGCCCATAGGGTATAAATTGGAGACGCTTAGGCCTTTTAGAACTTTTGCATTCTCAGCTTCTCTTCAACAATCAGCCCCCGAGTGTTCCTCTGTTCTCTTCCGAGCACTCCTCTATTTTCTTCCGAGTTCCCTTCCTAAAGGCCCTCTTCGTGTAAGTACTTCCTTTCGAGTTTCTTTCTCACCTCTTCTACATTTCTTCTCTTTAGAACTCACTAATGTCTAGAATCCTAGAACTAAGGGGAGTCACCTGTTAAGGCCAGGGCCAACAGCAAACTAAGGAGAATTGAATTAACTGATGAAAATATTCATACTTTTAGGGTCAGATACAACATCCCTGAGCCTGTATTCACCTTCCCCTTTAACCCTATCTATCATAGAAGGGATGTGGGAAGTGTAGACATGATGTCCTTTTGGACCAAAGCTATCATGAAAGTGGGTTAACTTTTTCTCCTTCACCCCCTGTTACTGAGGATGTTGATGCAACTGAGGCTTTTTCTCCTTCAATGTGGGGTAAATTTCTTTAAGATAGTCATGGGTGTAGTTGCCCTGAATGCTTAGCTAGGGGGTAGACTTAAGTGTAGACAAGATTCTTATTCTGCTACGACCTAAGGTTAGTAGCCGAGGGCAGATACTACCTCCAAGCCCGAGATACCTCTATGTACTTTGTGACTCACATGCCCGACTCAGATAAGGGGTATGTAGATGATCTAATCATGCTCAACGGGAGTTGGGAGAGAGTACACAGGCCTGAGTATGACGGATTGTACTGCCCCAAAGTGTCGAGGGATGAAGGTGTATTTTTGTTCTTTTTAAAACTTGTTTGGCATATTCCCATCATCGATGTTGATCTCGATTTCTTGCTTTTGCAGAAGGATACCGTCAGGACGTAGCTCAACCTTTGAGGTCCCAAGTCAAGTTCATCGACCTTCTAAGGGTTTGGTCCCTCAACCCAGTTAAGCAAGCGGCACACACTCTCCTCGGCTACGTGCCGACCTACAACTGGTTCTCTCAAATCCCTCCCCATTTTGATCCTTCATGTTGGGAGGATCAGTCCTCATCGAAGGAAGAGGAGGAAGAAGACCTTGAAGCGGACCCCGACCAAGGTTCTGAGCACACCGTAGCCCTCGAAGACCTATTCAACCTTCCACCTTATCACTGCAGCTTATGTATTGAACCGTCTTTGAACCCGATTGTCCCACCATGGGACCAGGCTCCAAGTCATCAAGTCCCCCCTCGGGGGATCGACAAAGGGATATGAGGGCCTGGGAGCTCGAGGGGGCTGAAGAGCGTTGGTAGAAATGCCGACTTGACACCCCGGGCCTAGTCACTTCCACCGAGTGGGCCCCCCGAGCAAAGACCAAGAAGGGCGCCCTGTACTGGAGGCGGACTCCATTCTTTAGTCCCCTAATGTGGCGTTTGCCGTTGTAGGGACTTTGTAATTCGAGGTCGACATGGCCGTGCACCAAGGTCTCGGAGACAACAGGTTTCTCCTAAGCACCATTCAAACAACTAGGTGGTAATTAGGGTTTTTCTTAACTTTTAATTTACCTACTTGGACCATCTTTGACCCAAGTCTTTTCCCTTCTCAAGCATGCCAGTAGATGGGAGTCATCCTTGAACGCTTCTGGGGGTACAAACAAGAAGCGAAGAATGTTGAGCGAGGCCTCACCGCCAAAGATGAACACATCCAAGGGGTGGAAAAGACCTCAGTGACTAGACTCGACACATTGCCGAGCTCATCCCCCAAAGTGACACCCTTGATGCCGATCTAGAGAAGGTGAAGGCGGGTGAGGCTGCAGCTGCCAAGAAGGTCGAGGAGTACGAACTTTGAGTCTCCGTCACCGAGGTCAAGCTGCAGGATTCTGAGTTTGTTATCAAGGATCTAACTACTAAAGTGGACTCCCTGACAATAGAGAAGGTGGGGGAGCAGGAGAGACTGGAGGCAGAATGCCAAAGGGCGTGGTTGGCCACCCAGGGTTAGATGGTCCCAGCCTTCAAGGAAGCCAAGAAAAAGGCTTTCAAAGAGGGCTGGGACGTCGCCCTTCACGCTACCTATGTCGAGATAGGCTCGGACTTGTTCGTTGTGTATAGTCTCCGAAGGGACGTCGATGTCGAGGTTCTCCCCGAGGGGCAAGTCCAAGTTGAGCCAAGCGACCAAGTTCTGGCTGAAGAGGCGGCTGGGCCAGCGGGTGAGAATGAACCCATCACCCTCAATGATGGTTCTGATCAGCCTTCTCTTGCTCTTTCGTCCCTTCCGCTTGTCGGGCAATGAGATGACCTTCCTACTCCTCCATCCCCCATCATCACTAGAGGGTATGATACTGAACTTGACGAGATACTAGGGGTCGAAGAAGAACTACTAAGGCAACGTGGAGGCCTCGGTGGCGGGGGAATCTAAGGATGAAGGCACCAGGGGTCTTTAGCTTCCTACTTGTACCTCTATTTTTATAACTTCTTTGTTATAACTTCTATCTTTGTAACTTCTTTGTATGCTCCGGGGACGTAAAGCCCCATTTTGGCCTTAATGAAACCTTTTTCATGTATGTGTTCTTTTATCTCTTTCTTTTTCTTTTTCTGGTATCAAATAACCAAAGTTACAAGTCAATAATAACCTCTAGAGGTAACATAAAAAGGAAAGACCATTGATTGTAATAGAAGTCCCCCATAGGTAAAACGAATTCCAAGTGTTGATCTTGTTTGGTCGGGGCCGAGTCTCTTAACTATCGGGCCCTTAAAAAATGAATTTTGTGTTGCTCCAAAGGTGGAGTATTACACCCCTCGGGGCCTTGCCCCTAATCGACCAAGCGCTTAGCTCATGTGAATCATTTGAAGGCGTTTCTTTGAGGGTGGAGTCTTACACCCCTCGGGGCCATATCCCTAACAACCGAGCGCTTGGCTCGTTTATAATTTGAAGGCATTGCTTTCAAGGGGGGAATCTTACACCCCTCGGGAACGACCGAATGCCTGACTCGTGTTAATAATTTAAAGGTGTTGCTCCAAGGATAGAGTCTTACACCCCTTGGAGCCATACCCCTAACGACCGAGGTTCTGGCTCGTGTTAATAATTTGAAGGCGTTGCTCCAAGGGTGGAGTCTTACACCCCTCGGGGCCATACCCCTAATGACTGAGGGCTTGACTTGTGTTAATACTTCAACCATAAGCAAAGCCTGAAGTCAAATTTAGTAATAGTATTTATTTAAATTCTATACATTCCATGGTCGGGCTACATCATTACCGTCCATATTTTGTAACCTATATGCGTTTGTGCCCCCCGCAGAGATTACTTTGTAAGGGTCTTCCCAATTGGGACCCAGCTTCCTCTCGGCGGGATCCCGAGTGTTGCTAACCACTTTGCGTAACACCAGATCTCCCACTTGGAAATTCCTCGTTTAGACCTTATTCTAGTGTTGCCTCGACAATTCCCCTTGGTATCTTGCCAATCTAATAAACACTAGTGCCCTCCTTTCTTCAGGTAAATCGAGATCTTTGGCAAGCATCTGATCATTGTTTCCCAGATCAAAGGCTTGGCTTCGTATTGTTGGGAGCCCCACTTCCAATGGGATGATGGCTTCAACCCCATATGTCATAGCGTATGGCGTCTCTCTTGTAGAAGTCCTCCGCGTGGTTCTATAGGGCCATAGCACGTTGAGTAATTTCTCGGTCCACCTCCCCTTTACCTGCTTAAGTCTCTTCTTAATTCCTACCAGCACAATTTTGTTGAAAACTTCCGCTTGTCCATTATGTTGGGGATAAGTTGGCGTGAAATAGTAATTACGTATTCCAAACCCCGAACAGAATTCTCTAAATGGGCCACTGTTGAATTGGGTCCCATTATCAAAGACAATAGCCCGAGGGATTCCAAACCGAGTGATAATGTTCCGCAATACAAACTTCTTTGTTTCCACATCCCAAATACGGCTTAGGGGCTCGGCCTCAATCCATTTGGTGAAGTAATCAG